AGAAAATTGGCACCAAAAGATTTGAAAAGGAGAAGCGAAGAAAAAAGAAAAAAAAAAACAAAGAATGTATTGGATGGGTTTTTTTGTCGTCCTTTTCAACATTTGAAATTATCATTCCATTTTGATTTTTTGAAATTTATTTTCAAAAAAAAAAAAGAAAAAATTATTTTTTTCTTTTCTCTCTCTCTCTCTCTCTCTTTTTTCTCTTGTATTAATTAATATTTATGTTTTAGCAAATTTCATATATTTAGGAGAGAGAAATGAATGCTAATATTTGCATAAGATACCTTTAACTTGTTGTAAACATAGCTTAACTAGCATATAGTTAGCTTAATAATCCTTATCTAGCTTTATTCAACTTATCAAAAACTATCCTCGTTGTTATCATTATTATCATCATCATCATTATCATCGTCATTGTCCTACTCGTTGAAGCATCATTCAAGATTTTCACTCTTCGAGAAAAATTTAATTACATCAGCAACAACAACAACAACAATTACTACTACTCTTACTACGACGACAAAGTAAATCGATGAAATATGTAAATTTGACGGAAAAATGATGAAATTACGTGTTAGCATTATTATTATTATTGGTTTTTAATAAAAAATTATAATATTGATTTATTTTCTTTATTTAATTACTTTATAGTATAATAGCATTTATTATTATTATTAAAATAATTGAACGAAAAAAAAAAAAACGAATTTTACGACATTTTTTGATTTTTAAATCTTTTTGTAGGATATAATAATATATACTTGCATGTATTTTTTTTTTTTTTTCATCTTTTCTAAAATTATTCCTAACTAAAAAATTTTCACATTATTTTAAACATTTTGAAATTCCTTTTTCCATTTAAAAGAATTTCCTTCTTTTTTTTTTTTTTTTTTTCAACAAATTTTGATTAACAATCATTTTTTTCCATTACTGCTCTCAATATTATTTCCTTTATTTTTATCTTAAATATGAATATATTATCAGTTTACTTAATGTTTTCTCTCTAAAAGGAAATTAAATACTGATAAATATATAAATTATTTAAGTGACAAAAATAAGTTTATCATTTCATATCATATTTATCGACTGAAACACATCATTAATTTATTAATTACTATTATTTCATTATTAATAGCTCATTTGAGAGCAGCAATTTGTAATACTTATCACAAAAGTGATAAGAAATATTTGCTCTCTGTGTTAGTAATTAATTTAGCATTATATTATCTTCCAATAATCAATCATATATTTAAGTATTTATCAATTACTTACCGTAAATTTATATTTAAATGATTACTGATATTAAAAATTATTATACACAAACAATTATTAATGTTGGAAATTGTTATTGTCACTGATAATTTACCGTATAGTTGGAATGATTTCTGATTAACAAATAAATGATTATTTTAATAGATAAAAAAATAATTAAAAAAATTTTACCACATTTTAGAAGATCATTTATAAGCAATTATTTAATTAAATAAATAAACAAACCGAATGCTTTTCTTCATTAAATTATCACAAATATATTAGCAAATAGCAAAGTAAATAAATGAATAAAACAGAAATTTTTGTTTGCTATTAAAAAAAAAAAAAAAAAAAAAAGAATGAATCTTTGACTAAAATGAAAAAAATTATACGTACGTGAAAAACAGTACTGTAAGCTAATATTTGACGTTATGTTAGGTAAAATATACGTATAAAAGTTTCACGTTAGTGTTCGCTTATACTTAATATTTATATATGTTTGATAAAGTAATCACCTTATCATATCTTTGTGATATATAAATTAATATGGAAAAAATAAAACATAACAATTGGCTAATGTATACTATGTACCAATTAATTAATAATTAATTAATTTTTACTTGATATATATATATATAATATTTAATAGTTATGAGAAAAAATTCTATTAAAAAAATATAATATTACAAATATAATTTATTAGAAAATATTTTTACTCATCAATTTTATTCATATTTTTTCATGAAAAATTTTCTAATAAATAAATTGAATTTTATATATTTGTTATGATTGTTAATTATAATTAATTTTTTGTTATTTAAATTATTAATTGCACTGTTTATTTGCAAATAATAAATCTATTAACAGATATTTGTATATATTTATAAAAACTATTAGTTTAAATATTTTAGATTATTTCATTTTTTTTTTTTTTTTTGTAAATTTTGTTATGGTCATAATTTGTTTAATGTTTTATTTGATGCAAAATATTAATTTATTATAAATTAATTAATTTAAATATCTATATTAGAAGCTATTTTTAATACTTTAAGTTAAAAGCATTTTGTTGTTATAAGGCTTATCCCAAGTTGTATTAACTTTAAAAATGACGACGAAATAATTCTAGCAAATTCTTTAAACAAATGATGAAGATAAAAATCAAATTTAAATCAAATTTCACAAATTCTATGTTTTGTTTTCTTCATCTATCAAAAAGAAAAAAGGCCACATTTTAGTATTACTAAAGCCTAAGGCTAAAACAGAAGACATCTTTTTTGCACAATTTTCAAACTTTTTTTCCTTCACAAATCAATTTTTCTATTTTTCATAAATCAATTTCTTCAAAAAAATTCAGACTTTTCCTTCAACAAACAGTTTTTCATTTTTTTTTTTCTTTTTTTAACTAAAAAAAAAAAAAAAAAAATATTCCCAAGAAAATTAATGAAACAATTTGCATTTAAAATAAATGTTTGGCAAAATTTGTCGTACAGTTTTTCATTTTTTCTTTTTTAATTAAAAGGAAAAATATTCCTAAGAAAATTGATGAAACAATTTGCATTTAAACTAAATGTTTGATAAAATTTATCTTATCATTATCTTATCATTATCATTGTCAATTAAACATTTAAAATATTCGAGCATATTAGGTTTGACATATATAAATTTTTAATGAAAATTTAGGCTATTTCTTTATTTCTTCATATTTTCTGGTGTTAAAATCATTTGTCAAAGCTGTTTATTATGGAAGACCAAAAGGTGAGTGTATTGTCTAATTAAATATGTCACAGGTTAATGAAGCCGAAAAAGAAGGAAATGATTAAGATTGGTAAGAATGAATGGATGGATAAAGGTGACAATCATAGTAGTACTTATTGTTGTTGTCAACGTTGACATTTACTTATTTATTTTTCTCATTTACAATTATTATCCTAGCAATAATAAATGTATTATTTACAGAATATAATTTTTTAAATGTATTCAAACTATTTTGCAAAATTTAATTTCAAATAAAAAAATTTTTTTTTAAAAATTAAACGATAAGATAAATTATGAAAAATGAAAAATTTTCAACTAAAAACTTCTCACTGGAAAAAAAAATAATAAATTCATTTTTCTTTTTTTGATAGATTAATTATAATTAATTACTTTTATTATATTATACTTAAAAAAAAAAATCAACGAAAGTTAAAAGAAATCATGAAAAATCATTCAAACTATAATTAATAATATAATAAAGTGTTTTCTTTTTTTAATAATTAAACTACGAAAAAATTTTTAGTAATAAAAATTTTGCTAATTTTTTGTTTTTTTAAAAAAAAGATCATTGCATATAAACAATATTGTTGCTTGCAAAAAAGAAAGCTCAATTAGGTTATTTTGGTACCAATGGTACCATCCAGTAAGTTGGAACATTTTATTTGAGAATTTTATAAATGATCAATTTGATTATTTTATTTCATTTTATCATTACAGAATGTTTTGGTTGTTGAAATACGCCGCAAAAGTCAAAAATGAATGAAAAAAGAAAAAGAAAAGAAAATTTTAAAATAATTCGATAAAAAAAAAAAAAAAATTTTGCTTTGCTTTTTCCGTTTTATCCTTTTGCTTCAATTTTTCAAATTCATTTTTTGTTGCTTTATTCAACTAACTGTTAAAACTGTTATTTTTTTTTTTTTTTTTAATAGACAAATATTTAATTTTTAAAAAAATTTATAATTTAACATATGTTAATTTTTTTCAAATTTAAATTTTGTTATATGAAAATTATATGTATTTTTTTAATGATAATAGTTTTTTGGATTTTAAGCAAAAAGTTTTGTGAATTTTAGCCTTTAAAATATATGCTAATTTTATTTGCGCTGTTGAAAATTTGATCAGTTCATTACATTTTTAATTTTTAAAAATTTTTTCATCTTTTTTACGATTGACATAATTGATAATTTAATTGTTGGGTTTATATGTTTAACATAGTGAAAATTTCAGAACTATTATTGCCTTTTAAAATTGTGACTTTTAAAGTTTAACTTTTAAAATTTTAATTTTTCAAAAATTTATTTTACGATTCAAATTATTTATCCTAACTTTTAAAACAATGCTAATTTTTACATGGCAAATTTGTTCATAATAATTAGACGAATTAATTTAGTTGCTCAATTACCAGCAAGTTTTGATTTCATTTTTTTTTTTTTTATAAGTTTTATTCAATAATTAATTAAATGAAAGAAAAATATCTTAGTTAAGCTGAAAAGTTTGTTTGTATTTCAGAAAAATTGGCAGCAATAAAATGCGATGAGACAAAATTTTAACAATTTTATTGCAATTCTTTTTTCCTTACTCAATGCATTTCATTGGCTGTCACAAACTGTCGCACAAGAAGGTTTTTATTCATTTTTCGTTTTTTTCGTTTTTTATCATCGATTAATTCTTTTTTACAATTTTTCTTACTTTTCCCACTTTTAAACTTCTCAACAAATTCGTTTTAAATTTTTTTTTTTTCCACAAAACTATTTCGATTAGTAAGTATAGTTAACCATTTGCAGTAATTTTGAATATTCAGAAAAGATTTCATGAGATATAATTTGAAATTGTAAAAATTATAAAGCAAAAAATTGTAGAAGCATAATTGATTTAGAAAAATTATTCAATGAAAGAAAAAAAAAAGAAAATTTAGAAAAGATAAATCTTTTTTTTTTTTTTTTTTTTGAAGAGAAAGAAATTGTTTTTATTAAGAATGGCGTGTTCCGGATATGCCGGAAAATGTACATTGGAAAACGGATGATAATAGCATAACATTATGGTGGGATCCACCAGCAACAGCTGATGAAATATTGGTGCGTGGTTATACGATATCATACGGAATTGGTACACCAAATCGACGTGTAATTATTGAAGGAGCTAATACCAATGCTTTTACAATTAATAAACTTAGTTAGCAAATTTAAATTTGTTAAATTTTCTTTTTTTTTTAGCAGTTAACATAAATTTTATTTATTTTGAAATAACAAAAATATATGCATAAACTTTCAATTATTAATTAAATAAACTTAATGAAAATGAAAATTGCTTCATAATTAATGTGCTCAAAAATCAAGATTTTCATTCAAATATATTTTTAATCAAGTTTTGAATTTGAATTTTGGATTTAAATTTAATAAATTCAAAAATTTTGTTTAAATTTTGCAATCAATGCATGAAATTTAAATTTTTCTAATTTTGCTTTTTTTCAGAATCTAACACAACATATGTTTTTGCATTAACTGCATATAATGAAGCAGATGGTGAAGATTCAGAAAAGGTTCTTTTCACCGCTACTACCGAAATTGGAAAAAATTCAGGTAATAGATTCATGAACGTGAGGTCCGTGAAATCCGTGAAATCCGTGAGTAAGAAAATAATTTCAAAATTTATTGATTATTTTTAAAAAAAGACATACATATTCAAAATTTTAATCTTAAGTGTAAAAATCATAGTAAATAAATATTATGTTATTTAATTATGCTATAAAAATAAAAATAAAAAATATAAAATAAAAGTATTATAGAAATATAAAAATAATATAATTATGTTATAGAAATTATATAATTGTAGATAATATTCAACTAATAATAAACGCATAAAATAATCTGAGAGTTAATAAGCTAAATATTAATTTTTTAATCTATTTATTTGCAAAATTGACACTTTACCTATAAATTATACTAACAGAAATGATTATTTAATTCAATTCTTTATTTTTTAATAATATAACAAAAAAATTTTTTGCTTTTTTGTTCGACAAAAATATAACAAAAAATATGCTTAGAAAAGTTAAAATTTTGTTATCAAAATTTTATTTTATTTATTAAATTCGAACAAACTAAAATTTTAAAGTGACAATTTTTTTCTTAAAAGAAGAAATTTAGATGAACAATTGATTAATTTACAAAGACCAACAAATGTCAAAGCAAATGCTATTTCACCCACTGAAATTTCAATACAATGGACGGATCCAAATGTTGATATTTACTATGATCATCAATCTGAAAGCATCAGATCATTATTTCGAAAACGAAAATATGTGATACAGTATGTAAACAATAAATTTTTTTCAAAAATTTTAATTCAAAAAGTTTTATCAATTTTATATTATTTACAAAATTTTACAAAAATTTCAATCTTATTGAATTTTTTGTAAAATTATTTGACAAAATTATAAGTTAATCATAAGCATTAAAACGATATTTATAAAATAAAATTTATTCATAAATTTTTTTCCTATTTTATTCTTTTCGATCTATTATTGGGTACTGTATATATGATACAGTATCCGTATCATCATACAGTATTTTTTATTTCAGATACGGTAAATATCTTTGATGAAGTATATGATACAGTATCCGTATCATCGTACTGTAAACTTTTTTGCTATTTCAGATACGGTGAATATCAATCATTGAATTTAGAAACGGTAACATCAACAGTACCATATGTACTTCTTAGTAATTTGCAACCAGCAACAGACTACGAAATTATCATTAAAATAATTTTGCCAAATGGAATCGAATCAGCATGGACTATTCGAGAAGTTATCCAAACATTACCAAATGGTAGACAATTGAAGAAATTTTAAATTTTTCAAATTTTAAGCAATTTTTGGAGTATTTTATATTTCTAATAAAATTTAATAATAATTTAAGTAGCATTAATGGGTGGATCAAAGCTGATTGAACTTCGATTCAATTTTGAGCAATCAGAAAAATGTTTCTTCTATTCTGATTCAACAGCTCCACTTCAATGGAAAATGATTGAAGCTAAAAGCTATAATGAATTAAGAGATCGATCAGGTATGTATTTTATTACATTTATAATTAAAATGATTGAAATTTAGAATTAAATTAAAAATGCATTTATGATTTATGTTTAACATCGTTAAAAATTATTGTAATTACAAAGTGATAAATTTAAAATTTATTATTAGCAATTTTTTACAGCAAAACATTTTGTAAGCATACAATCAACAATATTTGATAAGAATTATGGTCATTTGATATCAACACCAATCATTCTTACTGATAATAATTATTGTCTAAGTACATGGATTTATGTTAAACAATTCAGCAAAGGTTGGCATTATGAAATATTCAAAAAAATTATTCAAATATTTCAAATTATTTCAGAAAGAAGTCAAATTAATTTCAAATTTTCATCTATCAAATAATATAAGATTTATTCTTAATATAAATATTAAAAAAATTTTTTTTTTCGTACTTCTAAGAAATTTTTCAGAAAGAAAAATTATAATTATAATTGAATAAATCTCAATTTTATTTTATTTTTTTTTTTTTTAAATAATTTTATAAATCTTAATTTTATGCATTGATATGCTAATCTTAGTAATGTTTTTTTTTTTTTTTCAATGTTTTAAAATTTTGAGAAGACAATTAATTTTTAAATAAAATCAAAATTATTGAAAGTTTAAAAATTTTAAACAAATATTTTTTTTTACAAATTAAAAATTTAAATGATTTAATATTAAGAATATAATATAATTGTATATTAATTTAAATTGCTATTTTTGATATTTTTAGGTACACTCACTGTTTCATTGCTACCTAATAATTTATTGATAGAAGGAAGATTAGAAGAAATGCCAAAAGAGCAATGGCATCATTTAATTTTAGATTTTACTAATTCGCATCATATATTTCAGGTTTTTCTTCATTATCAAAATCATTTTTTAAATTTCAATTTATCATTTAATTTGAAAAAAAAAATTATAATTTATTGTTATTAAAATTTCCATCTATTTTGCAGTGAATTTTTCACTTAAAGGATGCAAAATTTTGAGCTTTAAACTTTGAGCTATGCAAATTTTATAAAATTAATATACTTTAAGGAAGGATTAAATTTTGTAAAATTTAAATGTTTGCAAACAATTAATGAGTAATTTTAAATTATTTTTGCAACGATTTCTTCAGATATCATTCAAAGTGAGAAAAGAAGATGGTAATCAATTTTGGTTAGCTTTAGACGACATTGCCCTACATTCCGGAAAGTGTAACAGTGATCCGGATGCACCTTTACGGGATAATGGACAATTTCAACGTTGGTTTAAAATCATTAAAAATTACACTTTTTTTCTTTTTTTTTCTTTCAATTAATTCTTTTTTATCAATTTATTCTAAAATAAAAAAATGATCCTTAAAAATATTTTCTTTTTTTATCTTTTTTTTTGTTTCAATTGTAAATAAAATAAAACATAAACAATTCAAAGATTTTATTGAATTAAATTAATAGAATATAAAAAATGACTAAATTTGATTTTCACTATAAAACATTTAAAAAATAGACACAATTTTTTCAATTTTGTTATTTCTGTTATTTTAATTAGCGTTTTTTTTTTTTGAATTTTGTTTGCTATTTAAATTAAAAATTAAAAAGGATAAATAACATTGTTAGTTATTTTTATATAAATTTCGAGCAATGAAAATAAGTTTACTAATTTAGTGTTTTGCATAAATCAATAAAGTACTTAATTTTATAATTAAATTATTTTCTGTTATCTCAGTAATAAATTGGGAGAGAAAATAATTTTTTATATTTTGTTTTCATTAAAGATTGCACTAATTGTCTTTTTGGCTTAAAAAAAAAATTATAAAACATTTTAAAAGATTTTTATTTTAGAAAATAATTGCTTTTTTTTAGATTTAAAAAAATAAAAAAAAACAGCCAAATATTTTACAAAATATGCATATTTACTAATTACTATTCAATTGATAAGTCAAAATGACAAAATTTAGCTGATTAAATTAATTAATTGAGTAATTAAGTTTTTGATACTTTCATGCTTAAGCAAAGCAAAAATTTGAATATTTAAATTTAGTTAACTTTTTTAATATAATAAAATTGAGTATTTTTATAATATAACAAACATTTAATAATCTCAGTTGCATTCTTTTTTTTTTTTTTTTTTTAATTTAAACTTTTATTTGATTAATTGAATATTATTTTAATGTTAAGTTTAGTAATTTAATATTTTGTTATGTTATATATAAAAAATAGGTAAGTAATTTAATTTAAAATTAATCTACTAATTCAGGTCACAATTTTATATCACACCCTCAAGGCATTTAATATATTTTACTTAAAATTTTTTGTTAAATAATTGAAGTATGAAAATTTCTAATTTCTATAGTAATTTCTAAATTCAAATTTTTATAATTAGTCACTCTAAATTTAATATTTTTTCATTTATTATTTGATAATTTTTTATTTTAAAAATAATTTAAGTGTAAAAATTTTGATATTATGCGCAAAATCTTTTTTTATGAAAAATTATCGTAAAATTTTTAGTATTTCATGCTTATTAATAATTATTAATGGGTAACCAATGAATTAATTTTTTTTAAAAAAAAATTTTATAAAAAATATTTGAAAAATTTTTAACATTTCATATTTATTTTTAATATCTAAAAAATTAAATGCTAAATTAAATTCTTTTTTCACTTTTCAAATATTTTAATTCGTTTTTTTTTTTTTTTTCATCTATTTTGTATGTTATTTCTTTTTAACATGCAGAAAAAAAAATGCATGCATGAATGAATTGCATGCATATTTATGCATGCTTTTTATGCATTACATACTGGGAAAGTATAACTGCAACATTTCTTTTCTTTTTTTTTTTTTTCATTTTTTCCCGTTTTTTTTTTTAATACAACAAAAAGAGAGGGAGAGAGAGAGAGAGGGAGGGAGAGAGAAAAAAAGAAGGAAACGTTATGATTCATTGATTCTTTTTTTATAGATTACAAATCTTTAAATTTGCATCATTTTTTTTTGATATGATTAATTATTGATAAGAAAAGCTATCAAATTATCAAATAATCTCAATTTAATTTCTTTCTTTCATTTCAATTTTTTCTCTTTACTTTATTTTTTAATTAAAATTTGGTTCGTTTTTTCGTTTTTTTTTTTCGAATTAATCAAAAAAGAAAAAAAAAAAATAAGCAAAATGATAATATTAAAAATTCAATCAAAAATTTCAATTTTTTTTTTTCTAAGAATTCTGTTTTCTGTTAGATTAATTATGTCTGAATGGATATTCAAAGAAATAAAAATAAAAAAATTTTTTTTCTTTCTTTTTTGAAATTTTATTCATAATAAGAAATCAAATAATTATTGTAATTTTGTTGAGTTATTTGTTTATTATTACAATTTCCTCTCAAATAATTAATTAATTAATTTTTTATTTTTAAATTAAAATATTAAATTTATCTTTGCTTTCCCCCCTTTTTTTTGAAAAAGTGGGAAATTTTATGAATTAATAATAAAAATAAATTCACATTTTAAGTTATAATTTTAATAGAATAAAATTTTTTTTCCACAAATAAACAAAAATTAATTATAATAAATATTAGAATAATTAATTACATTAAGTTACAATAATATACAAACAATAAGTTTAAGTATTACTAATTAAAATACATTATCAATTTACAATAAGTTTAAATATTATTATTATTAATTAAAATACATTATCAATTTACAATATGTTTAAATATTATTATTATTATTAATTAATAATTACAATAAGTTTAGATATTATTATATTAATTAAATACATTATCAATTTACAATATGTTTAAATATTATTATTATTATTAATCAAAATACATTATCAATTTACAATAAGTTTAAATATTATTATTATTAATTAAAATACATTATCAATTTAATATACAACAAATTTAAATAAAATTAGTTATCACATAAAACAGCAATAGACAACTCTGATTACTGCATGAAATAAAATTAAATGAAATTAATTGGAAATGCTTACTTAAAAATTTTATGGTAATATTTTATATATTAAAGTTATTTCATTTATAAATTTTCACAATTAAAATAGAACTGTAGTTAAATACAAAATCAGATTATAAAAAAAAAGAAAAGGAAAAAAGTGATTGGATAGGAATAAATGTGTAATAAAGAATCTCAAAAAAAAAAGAAAAAATTTTTTTTAAAATATTTCTAAAAAAAAATTTAATAGCACAGAAAATAAATGAAAATCAAATTTAATCAAATTTCTATTTTGAAATTTTATGATTAAAATTAAAATTTTTGGATTTTTTTGCTATTTTTTTTGAAAGATTTCTTCATTTTTTTTCCCTTTTTTTAATGATTGTTTAACAAATGCTAATGCTTTTTTTTTTTTTCAAATATCTTTTTTAAACACAAATATTTTTCAGTGAAATTTGACAAATAACCTTTGACATGAGATAGAAATTCATACATTCTCAATCATTCACAATTTCATTTCTTAAATTGCTCAAAAAGTTGACAAATAACCTTTGACACGAGACAGAAATTCATACATTCTCAATTATTCACAATTTCATTTCTTAAATTGCTCAAAAAGTTGACAAATAACCTTTGACACGAGACAGAAATTCATACATTCTCAATTATTCACAATTTCATTTCTTAAATTGCTCAAAGGGTTTCATTTTTGATTAATTAATTGCTCACTAATTAATGATCACAATGCGTTAAAATGCAAATTATACGATTAAAAATGGAAATGTAATTTTTTTTTTTGGAGAGAAATTTGTTAATGAATTGCGTTAACTGTCTGAGTGTAATTATTTTCATTTATCAAATTAGTATTCGTCGTTTTGATGTGACCGCAATTTGTTGTACATTTAACAAAAATTTCAAACATAATTTAAACATTAAAATTATAGCAAATTATAAATGGAAAACAAAAAAGACGAATTAAAACAGAGAACAGATTGAAAAGAAATATATTAATTGGTACTTTTAAAAATAATAAAAAATTATTTAAACAAATAATTTAACAGCCATAAAAAGATGACAGTTAAAAATGATTAAATAACAAATTAAAACAAACAATTAATTTAAAAAAAAAACAAACAATATAAAGCAAAAAAAAAGAATAATAATGATAAATAATTAAAATTAGAAAATAAAAACTAGAAATTTTATCAAAAAGGAAGAAATTAAAAAATATTGGAATAAAATAAATTTTTAATTTGTTCGTAAATTTGAACAATTTTTTTTTTTGAAAAAAAGAGGTAAGAATTAAAAGAACAAAATATTGTGAATTTCTAACTGTTTTTGTTCTTTGTTTTTTGTTTAATAAATTTTTTTAATTCTGTTTTATTTAATTATTTGTTTAAAAATCTTAATTTTGTTTAATAAATGTTTAAATAAAAAATTGTTTTTTATTCAATAAATAATTAAATATTTATTAAAATTCACAAAGATTAATTTTATCAATTATTTTAATAACTTAGCAATTTTTCCTTTTTTTTTACTAAAAATATCAAAAATTTTTCTTTTCCTTTTTTTTTTTTTTATTAAATAATTTTACTGATACAATGAGAAAAGGAAAAAAGATTGGAACGATTATTTGCAATTGATAAATTAATTTTTTGGAAATTTTCATGAGAATTTGCATATGAAAAGATGCATAATTCACATGAAAATTGCAATTATATTAATTTTTTTTTTCCTACTTTTTATTGTTATAATAAATTGATCATTCAATAAGAATAGCAATAACAATAAGAGAAAAGAAAAAGAAAAATCAATTATATGCGGTCAATGAAATGCCGTGTGAAATGATTGAATAAATTTTGTGAAAAATTTTTGTCAATTATTTTTATAAAAAGAAAAAAAAAACATGTAAGAGAGAGGGACAAGAGAGAGAGAGAGAGAGAGAGAGAGAAAAACAATTTGTTAATAAAAAGTAAACAAATAATTCAATTATTAAAGTAAATAAACAATTTAAAATGTAATTAATCATATCACATGATATGTCAATGTCTCTTTATCATAATCAATTCAATTTTATATTTTATGAAATTAATTTTTTGCGATTAGATGAAATAAAATTTTAAATTCTACTGCTTAAATATATTATATAGTAAAATTATACAAAAAATATATGTAAAAGTATTTTATAAAAAATATTTTATTGAATTATTTGTTTGAATAATTTCATTGGAATAAATATTATAATTTATCTGATATGTTATTAGCTCATTATAGTTTAATTTAAAGTTTATCTTTTGAATTCTCAGAAAAATATTTAAAAAATATATTTTCATTCATATATAATCCATTAGTAATACTTAATGAT